CATGCTTGCCGGGCCGGGAGGAGAGTAGAAGGCTGTGAGGGTCTCTGGTGCTCATTGCACACTGACCTTCTGAGTGGCCCCACAAGGGGATACTGACCCATTACCTCCCCCTTGGAAATAAAGATAAATGAGACATGGCAATGGCCACAGTAAATTTAAGGGTAAGTAAAGAAATGACTGTAAGACCCTTGTCTAAGGGGATATGGGTAAAAGTGGTTAAAGGATAGAGGGATCAACAAGAGATAGCAGACATGGGTGGCAGAGAAAGGTCAAGAGGGCTGAGACTAGAAGAGTAGGCCAAGCTCAGTTCTATTTTGACCTGTTGGTAACACCCCCCCCCACCCCCCGGCAACCCAACTTTCTGATAACCTGAGGAGATCAGACATGTGTCACAGGTCAGTGCAGGTTCCCCTGTGACCCCACAGTGAGAGAGGAAACTCTCGGTATCTAAAACCTGGGGGATTGTCAAGGGTGGGAAAAAAAGGCGACATGTAATACTCTTTGTAATACTTTAAGCAATAAAACAATTAAAAATATAGAAAAATAATAAAAAAAATAAAGGAAATGAAAAAAAACCCCAAAAACTTGCGAAGGTGGCCAGTGGGAGCGGGCCGGGACCAGAGTGGAAGCAGGAAGATCTGGCCTGAAATGGACAAGAGGGGCTGGCAGCCATTCTCTCGGGTAACCAGTCAATCCACTTTCCAGGCATTTAATCTACTTCGCTAACTGCAGAGGGAAGTGAAGAAGAATGCCTGAAACCAGGAGCTGGTGTTGCAGCAAAATTCACAGCTCACGCTGTTCGGGATCCTGTCCTGGCTCTGCCCCAACCAAGAGTGGCCACCCCTTAGTGAGAGCCTAGAACAGGGGTCCTCAAACTACAGCCCGCGGGCCACATGCGGCCCACGGAGTGTTTTTGCCGCCGCTGCCTGTTGCTTAGCAGCCGACTAGTGTTTTTTTTAAACTATAGTCCGGCCCTTCAATGGTCTGAGGGACAGTGAACTGGCCCCCTGTTTAAAAAGTTTGAGGACCCCTGCCTAGAATATGCTGGAGATTGACAGACGATATTTCACTTACTCCTCACATCAGCCCTGAAGGCTGGAAGGCATTACCTACCTATCTCTAAATCCCTATTACCTATCTATCCACAAATAAGGAAACCAAGGCTCACAAAAGTTTTGCCTACAGACCCCTGACCAGGCTGGCTGGCTCTGTCTGCTCCAATGAGCACTGTTCTCTCATTTGTGGTATGTTACTCTGTGCTCTCAAACACATTACATGGCTCAGCCTCTCTGGACCCGAGCCCTCACCTGCAAATTCAAAGGACTGGATTAAGTGGTTCTTAGAGGCCTCCCTACCCCAGAAACTCTAGATATAAATGGAGAAAAAAGCACAGAAATCAA